TATATAATAATTCAAGAAATAATAATATTTACAATAAAATATAAACAAATAAATAATTTAAAAAATAATTATTGTTATTCTTAAAAGAACTAAATAATAACACAAAATATAAGTAATGGTTTCTCAAAACAATTGTTAACGTATATTTTCCTTTAAAGATCACAAATGGACCCTGGACACAACCTGTTCACCCCCCTCCCCTCTGGCAGGAGGCTGCGCTCCATCAGGACCAAAACCTTTCGCCTGAACCTGAACAGTTTCTTCCCCTCCTCTTAAACAAGGCCCGGCCCCCCCACTGAGACAACGTAGACTCTATATGCATTACATTAATGCACACAATGTTCAAATACTTATTGCACATTCATATTTTATATCCTATAACTCATTGCATTAGCTATAAATTACTGCTTTATTTTATTGCTATTCAACTATATTTCATTACAGTGTCCTTAAAGATTTTTTATTTTGTATGGAGATTCTATGTTTTATATTTTATGTCTGCACCACAACATCAAGTCAAATTCCTCTTATGTGTGAACCGACCTGGCAATAAACCCGTTTCTGATTCTGATTCTGAAATGGCTCTCTTAATTTGGAGCGTGATGCCACCATGCCCTCCAAAACAAAGAAATGTTGCCCTCGAGATAGACTGTGCATAAAAGCAGACAGAAAGATTATTTAATTGAGTTTTGCAGTCGGTATTATTGCTAACGAGTCATAATCCAGTCGGTGGTGTCAGTGACACAGGTAGAGACAGACATAGCTTCTAGTGTTGTGTTTCACAGAGGGAGCGTGCCCGGCTGCAGAGCGCACGTTTTCACCATAGACTGTATATATAAAGGTTTAAACACAACAGGCTGCTCTCATCCAGAGGGATTTCACAGTAAATACACCAGGTCTGCTCAAAGTGTGTCACTGATGATGGAGGGAAAGGAGTCCTCAAGTTGAGGTGAGGTGAGGAGAGTGAGGGAGGGAGAGAGCTGCTGTCTCAACTCTGGACGGCTATATAAAGCTCCTGCCTGCAGCGGAGTGAAGCTGCATTAATAAAAGACGTGTTTCAGAGCAGGCTACTGGACACACACACACACACACACACACACACACACACACACACACACACACACACACACACACACACACACACACACACACACACACACACACACACACACACGTCAGAGATGAAGGCAAATGTCCTTTTATTGTGTCGTCTTAAGTGCTTTTCTTGTTTTGTTTAATTTGTTTCTCTGTGTGGGTTATCCAGGAACGTAAAGGTCAGAATATAAGCATCTCATTTAAGCCCAAAGAATGTGGATGTTATATTGACTTACATGTCGCGGGGAAGAGGAGTCTGGTTGAACACTCTGAAAAAAGAAAAAAAACAGGTGAATTCTACTTAAAATATAATGTTGAATATTTACACTTAATGTCTTTTAAATACATCCATGTATACGTTATTATAATATTCCAGAGCAAATAAAGAATAATAAAAATGTTGAGTGTGACTTGCTCTTGAAACACTGTCTGAATGTTGTGCAGTTTAGTATTGACCTTCAGTAATGAATACTGGCAGCTGGCGATGACGAGGCAGAACTGAAAGACCCAGATGTCGGTGAAGAAGCCGTGGACGAGCAGCAGGGAGCCGAGGAAGGCCACGAGCACGGCCAGCACCACGGCCAGAACGTTCTCCAGAACCTCGCGGTTCCTGAGAGACAGTGAGAACAGTTTGATTATTAGTACAGTTAACAGTTCTCCAATAAAAGACTATCGCACCAATGCATAATATCCAAACCAGCTCCGCAGAACACCAGGTGGGTTTGATCGGCATGTGCTGCATTTACAAATGTCCAATGGTCTTTAAAATGAATAAAGTGTTACAAGCGTTTCTGCCAGGAAATTAGCTTAAAGTTGTAATATTTCATCTAAATCCTCCTATTCTTTATGTCTTATACACAAAATAAACTATTTCCTCTAACCAGACTCTGTAATAAACGATACATTCTGAGCTTCTTCGAACAACTCTGAAGCCACGATTGAATAATTTGAGACAAACAGTCACGTGAGAATTATTCTGGGAAATTCCTCCTGAACGTCCGGCTTTTTAAAATGTTTGCATGTGGAGCCCAGAAAGTCAAATATGGAAAAATGGAAAATACAGAAGACAGAATGAAGGCTGTAAAAGTGTGATATATAAGCTCCAATCCATGCAGGGCTTTAAGAAGAAGTCAAATCATCTTAAAAACTGAGCCTTACAGCTGATTGTGGATAAACTGCAGGCGACAACACTGAGTCCCTGAGTCCCCCATAAAGACAATTACAGTAATCAGGACAAGGGGAGATAAAAGGCTTACTTTCCAAATCCACAAGTGGAACGATCTAATTCTTCAACAGACCTACATCATGGGCAGGGTTTCCGTGAGCCGGTAATTACCGTTTTTTTAGCTGGTCAAATGTATTAAAAATCGGTAAATTCAAAACCTGCCGGTCAAAATGTCCGGTAATAATCAGGGATGCTCCGACCGTTTGATCAGTGCTCTCTATAAAGGCCGGTCAGGAGAGCTGGATCTGATCGATATGGAGATAAACGCTAGTGAAGTGTAACCGGACGAGAGAGAGAGAGAGATCAGCTGATGCATGATCACCTGAAGCCCCGCCCACTGTTTAGCGAGCTGCAAGAGAAACTGACGGGCTGTCGAGAGAGAGAGAGAGAGAGAGAGAGAGAGGAGAGAGAGAGGGAGGGAGGGAGAGAGATAGAGAGGGGGAGAGAGAGAGAGAGAGGAGAGAGAGAGAGAGCGAGAGCGAGGAGGAGAGAGAGAGAGAGAGAGAGAGAGAAGAGAGGAAG